GAAGCTTGGAAGGATGTCAATTTTGAAGCAAGGGAGAGAAGAGAAGAGAAGAGAAGAGAAGAGAAGAGAAGAGAAGAGAAGAGAAGAGAAGAGAAGAGAAGAGAATCACTAGGACTAATAGGGTCTTCTTCTCAGATATGCCTGGTCATTAAGGTCTACTAGGAAGGGTTTTGTCTGCATCCTGCCCACTTCTGTCCTCCCCACTATTTATTCTATATCCACCGAAAGTACTTCTGATGTAGAATAAATAATTCCTGGGGTTTTGGTGGCCCTTGCAGAGAAAGGTCGGTGCCCTTCCGTGGATCGTTTTTTATTTAGACCCTTTGGATCCACTGGACTTCCAGTTCCTGGGATGGTAGCTTTGAGCCTGTTTATTTCTTACATGTACCCCCTGCTTTTCCACCAGATGGTACTCAGAGCAGCGAAGAACAGGAAATTCACAGCAATGTGCAGAAACAGGAAAGTAGTACCCCGACTATCAGATGGTTGAACTAATTGCCATATTTTTATGTTGACTGGAACAAGTTCCTGATTTAATTGAGTTATTTTTGTTGATGGTTTTTGTTCCAAAGTAACAGTATCTTTTCATTGCTGCGGATAGCTGCCTAGGGTGGTGAGTGCGGAAAGTCAGGGTGCAACTTAAAAAGAAAACAAAGGAAAAGAAGGAACTGTGAGCAACGGATTCTAATCCTTGGCCCTCTTATTTATTTGCTTATGTAGAGTATCTCAAAACCCGCCGATGCGCTGTTTCTGGGGAAGGATTCCTTCTACCCATCTCGGAAGTATCTCTTGGAAAAACCAACCCTCACCACCAGTACTGGTAGGATGGGGAATGGATTGGCGGGGAGCCCAGAGGCGTGATTACAGAGGCCCTGGTTGGGACTATTTTTTGTTAGGGAGGGGAACGGACTAGAAGATACTTTCCCCGCCAGGAAGACTGAAGTGATGTTGCAATCAGGCGGTCACTGTGATTCAGGGAAGGCCGAGACATCCTTCTGCACTCTAGGCATCTAGCAAAGGGGTCAGGGTCAGTGTCCTGCCCAAGGGGGGGCGGCGAGAAGGGGCACAAGCAGCAGCTCTGCCCCCTTCCTCTCTCGGCCACTCATCTTTGCAATTACCTCGGGGCTCCCGGGGATTGTACAGTACACTCTCCAGTTTTTCACCTGACATGTCACTCTAGGAGCCTCGATCTGCTGGAGGAGCTGTAAACACACTTTAAATAAATGAATGATGGAGGAGCCGTGGTTCTTCCTTCGAAAAATAGTGGGTGGACAGCTAAGCGGGGACCCTTTCCTTCTCTGGCTTTGCCAGGCTGCCTGCATGGAAGACGTTCATAGCCGCCCGCCTGCGGGTGCTGCCCAGATCTCCTAATCTCCAGCCACCCGGGTTGAGGGAAGCTATAGTTGGGGTCTGTGTTCTCCCTTTCTCTTTGGTCTCTAGAGGAGGACCCCTCGGAGGACGAGTCGGTGAAGGACTCCATGGGCCCGGAGCAGTCCTACCCTTCTCCCCAGCAGCTCCCACACCCGCCCAGGGAAGACTCCACCTCCCCTCCCCTCCTCCAGCCCCTGTTGGGCCCCACTGTGGCTCAGGAGGTACTGAGGACCTTTTCTTTTGCCTCTTCGGGGCCAGGGTGCTGGCGCCCAGCGAGCCTTAGACTCCCTTCTCCCCCCACAGATGGCCCCCCCGGTGTACAAGAGCGAGAGCAACAGCCTGGGGAGCTTCCCCTCGGCCTTCTACGCTGCCAAGGGGCTGGTGTTACCCGGGAACCCCGGCCCGGCCAACGATGGAAGCCCCCCGAGCGACCAGTCAGAAGGCAGCAATTCCGGCTCTGTCGATGAAGAGCAGTTGGATACGGCTGAGATTGCTTTCCAGGTGAAGGAGCAGCTGCTGAAGCACAACATCGGTCAGCGCGTCTTCGGACATTACGTCCTGGGCCTCTCTCAGGGCTCGGTCAGTGAGATCCTGGCCAGGCCAAAGCCTTGGCGCAAGCTGACAGTCAAAGGGAAGGAGCCTTTCATCAAGATGAAGCAGTTCCTCTCTGACGAGCAGAACGTGCTAGCTCTGAGAACGATTCAGGTGCGCCAGAGAGGTGAGTGGTCCAGGCAGGAAACCGGGGCAGGGTGGGGGCGGGGGCTGTTGCTGACAGGCTTCCTGCTTTGAAACCGAAGCTCTGATTGCCTTCCCACCTCCTCTGTGATTTCCCAAGGAAAGACCAGCCAGTTGAGATAAGCCACCCTCAGTTGTGGTCTCCCTAGCGTACCCCTCTTTTCTCTCCTTCTTTCAAATGGTTGCGTGCAGGCTCCTTGTTGCAGAAGCCTGGCATGGTTCTCTTCAAGGCAGGAACAATCATAAGATTGGAACTGAGCAAGGCTCAAACCAGGCTCTTGGATATACAGCTGGGCTCCTCTGCAAATTAAGTGAGTTTTAATTAAGATAATACTGCTACCACTAATTGACTTGAACTAGGACACTGCTCGATTTTGGAGCCCCACCAAACGCACAAAGCAAATCTCAGAAGATGGCCAGCAAAACGTGTCTTTGAGAAGCTTGATTTGGAAGTTAGTGCTGACCCAGTGGAGCTGCAAGCAGGACATCTTTTATAGCTTGTCTTCTCAAGACTTCCAGACCAGTCATGTAATCTCAGAACCAGAATCGCTTCTGTTTCACATAGGCTGCTTTTCGCATCGCTTTGGGGGAAGGGTTACGGCTCAGCAGTACCAACGTGGCATGCAGAAGTTCCCATGACCAGCCCTGGCATCTCTAGGGAGGGCTGTGGAAATCTCCTGTCTCAGTGGTGTCAACCTTTTGTATCTTAGTCCCACCAATCACTCTGCCAGAGAACTTGGGTCTCCCCATGATAGAAACCGAAAGCTGTTTTTTTTTCCAAGAAGAGATATCTATGTTTACAGGGATTCTCTTATTATATTTATCATTTACGAGAGGCTTTGAAGCTTTAATGTTTCCGGGACATTTCCTAGACCGCCTCCATGTTTCACCCACGGTATGTGGACCACTGTTACAACTGTGGCCTACCTGAAGCCCTGGAGAGCCAGCAGAGGCCATAGAGAAGTAGATGGACCAAGGTTCTGACACAGGTTACGCTTTGTAGGATCTAGGCTTCAGCCTTTGTGGCAGATTTTTAGTCAGGGGTGAGAATTGGTCCTGGTTGATTAGGTTTTTCCTTTCCTCCATCTCCCATTCCTCAGCATATGGAGATCAAACCCAACAGCCCGATTCCTGGTCCCTGACCCCTTAGCAAGTGACTAATGCAAGAGACATTTCTCCAAACAGGAGCTTCTAAAAAAGGAGGATCACTGGTGCCATTACATAATTCCTTGACTTTAGGTGAATAGAGCTGGTCCAAAGCAAATGACAGTCTTTGTTGTTGTGTGTCTTTGATCAGGAAGCATTACACCAAGGATTAGGACCCCGGAAACTGGTTCAGACGATGCCATCAAGAGTATCTTAGAGCAGGCCAAGAAAGAAATTGAGTCGCAGAAAGGAGGTAAGGGGCCCACGGGATTGCTAGAGGTGCTTTGGGGTACATTTTGCCCTCTGAAGTTTGTGGAGTCCTTGGGGTTCTCTGAGCTTGCTTGTTTTCTTGCCAACGTTTTGTCACCTGGCTAGGTAACATCTTCAGTTTAAAACTGAGATGCCTTTGGGTGAGACTTCCTTGCTTTAGGTTCTTCTTGACTTCGGCAATTGCGGTTGTGGTCCTAATTTGATGCGTTCTTAAATTCTTCCTTAAATGAATTCTCATGTCTTCTGTCCATCTTGATGAAAGGAGTGGCAATCTATAAATACCCTAAATACTGTAGTAACTAACTCAGCTTCCTTGGGTCAGGTGAAATTGAGGGGTCCTCTGCTGCCCTCTGCTGGTACCTTTTATGTAGGAATTCAGCAACCGGTGCAGGGGTTCCTTAAGCCCCCAAATAATTCTGTGTAGGAGCAGAGGCAGGCAATAAAACCTCAAATAAAAGGCCATTTAGGGGGAAGGATGTCCGTTAAAGTCAAATGTCCCTTAAATTCAAATTGATGTAATTGATTGCTTTTACTTCATTTGCGTAATTGACGTTTCTACGTCATTGGCATCAATTCGCAAATGATTTAAATTGACTGAAATGATGTTAAAAGGTCAATTGCATTATTAGACAAACGATGTCAACGGTCTGGACCGCTTTAGAAACTGTGGACTCTGGCTGTTGTTTGGAGGTGAAGTCTGAAGTAAAAGATTGTCCGCTGAATCCAAAGTTTTGTTGTATGAGAAATGGTAGTCCATTAAAATAAGTAAAACTGCCTGGAGGAAAAGTGCTGCCTTTGACCATCGGTGTCGTGTGTCCTCAGGGAGCTCTCTGTGCAGAAACAGACAAGCCCCAAGGAAGTGTGCAGAGAGGGTCCCCCATTCATTTTTGCTCGTGATGATTTGGCTGAGCTCATCCCACATTCTCTGTGTTGCGCTGTTCTGCAGGGGAGGCAAAGAGCACCATGGCAGCCCAGACGGCCCCCAACGGCATCAGCAGCAGCAGCAGCTCGGAAGACGCCATCAAGAACATCCTGGAGCAGGCCCGCCGTGAGATGCAGGCTCAGCAGCAGGCCCTGCTTGAGATAGAATCCGGCGGCAGCGGCCAGCCCGTCCCCACCCGCCCTGCAGCGCCCTCCCCCCTGTCAGCCGTCAGCCAGCACATTGTCCGTGCTTACATCAAGCAGGAAGAAGGGGGCGGGGCGGGCCCCAACACCAGCAGCAGCGTGACCCAGGCGCCCCTGACGGTGCTGTCCCCCGCTGCCTTTGTGCAAAGCATCATCCGCAAGGTTAAATCTGAGATTGGGGACGCTGGCTCCTATTTTGACCAGCACTGGGCGTCTGAGAGGAACCTGCTGAACCGCCCTTTCACCTCGGTGTCACCCTCCCTCTCTTCCTCGTCCAGCTACTCCAGCATGGCCAATGGACGAGCGTGGCCACGGGGTGAACCTGGTGACTCTGGTCCAAATGAGGAAGACCTGCCAACCTCAGAGGATGAACCCCATAGGGTGCTGGAAGTAAAATCAGAAGTGGTTGGTTCAGAAGCCCAAGGAACTGGGCGCTTGTCTTACTACCCATCTTATGTGCCAAGGACTCTCAAGCCCACCGTCCCCCCCTTGACACCAGAGCAGTATGAGATGTACATGTACAAGGAAGTGGACACCTTGGAACTCACACGGCAAGTCAAGGAGAAGTTGGCCAAGAATGGAATCTGCCAACGCATCTTTGGGGAGAAGGTAGCTCATTAGTCAGTAGTGAGGAAGCCATGTTGTCTGGCTTGAGAAAGGAGACCAACAGGGTGCTTCCAGACAAAGTTTTCATTGTGCAAAAATGGGCTAGATGACAGCATTTTCCACTTGGAACACCCTCTTCTTACCAGGAAAAAGATGGCTAAAGAAAGAAAAGTTATTGATAAGGTGTTACTTGTTTGTTAAGAACAGTCGTGCTGGATCAGCCAAGGCCCCTCTTAGTCTACCATCTTGTTTCCCAGAGTGGCCAGACTCTGGGGAGCTCAGTAGAAGATGGAGACGCACCATTGTTCTCCTGCAGCTGACATTTTTGGAAGCATGGCGGTAACACCGAGTCTTCAAGACTAATGGCCCTTGACAGATCTTTCCTCCATGAATTCCTCTAGTCCTCTGAAAGGCCTCTGACTTATTAGATCCAATTTGATACCATTTCAGACATCAAAGATAGGAGTGGCACAATTAGCCCGAGGAATTGTGTTGTCCGGAAGCACCCAAATGTAGAGAGGCTGAGGGAATGTGTGAGCGCAAGAGGAAATTTTGAGAGCGTACAAGACAGGCAAAGAGCGTGAATGAGGCTGAGAGAGGGCAAACGGCAGATGAATTGGAAATAAAATGAAAATATCCCTGCCGGTAACATGATGTCTGTGATTACTACATTCTGTTTTCCTAGACTGGCTCTGATGCCCAGCAAGCCTAGGAGAAGGTTTTGCAATCACAGTAAAGGGGCGGGCAAAACCTTTTCTTTGTTTTGCCAGTCAGCTTGCTATTAAAGGTGCAAAAGGGAGAGCAGTGGCAATTCAAGACAGTGGCCCAGCTGCGTTCTCCGGACTGTTTCCCGTCCACCTTCTCTGCCACCAGTTCCCCCAGAGCTGCTGGTGCCACTGTTACTTCACCCCTACTGGCCCTCCCCTGAGGTCTCCTGTCCTGCTCAGCCCCTTCCTCCACAAATGGCCTCCACCATCTTTCCCGTGGCTGTCTTTTCTTTGGAAAAGATCTCTGACTGCAGGACACTTTCCAAATCTGAGTTGGGTTCGTGCAAGAGGCTCTCCTAGATTTTGCTACACCTTCCCCCCGCCCCCCCCCCGCCCCCAGGAATGGTTTTGGATGGAGCAAAATTGTCTTCCTCCACTGATTCCCTTGGGATTCTAGCTAAGGTCCTGTCCCTTCCCAACATCGTTTGGGTTAGAGCAGAAGGCCATCCAGATTCCAGCCAAGATGGTGTCCCCTCCCGAAAGCTGCTTTATTTATTTATATTTATTTAAATCCAAATTTAGTCACCGCCCATCTCACTCAAGAGCGACTCTGGCTTGACCAGAATCCCACTATTGCACTGGCTGAGTGTCTCTTTTCCCGTGAATGAGATTTTGCACTGAAGGCTTTTCATGCCGGTGCCTGACCATGGCTCAAACAGGCCTCTACCTTCTGGAGTTCAGGAAGACCCTGAGAAACCTCCCTTTTTCAACAGCTGAGTGGTGCGCAGGTGCATCCCTCTTGCCTTCTGCACTGAGCATTAGATGACTGTTGGTATTTTTTCTGCGTTGCTTCCTGGACCGTGCGCCACCCAGAATCATCAGGTTGGGACCGCTAACAAGCCTCGATCGAGACCTAAGCCTTCTCCCCTCTCTTTCAGGTGCTGGGCTTGTCGCAAGGCAGCGTGAGCGACATGCTGTCCCGGCCCAAACCGTGGAGCAAGCTCACCCAGAAGGGGCGGGAGCCGTTTATCCGCATGCAGCTGTGGCTCACGGATCAGCTGGGCCAAGGGATCAGCCAGCAGGCTGCCCTGCCTCAGGGTAGGAGCCCTCGAGGGGTGGGCTGCATCCTCGGCAGTCACTTCAAGCTCACCCCGTGCGGCCTTTTGGCTACCTTATTTATTGTTTTCCTCCAGCACCTCTAGCTGCTTAAAGATCCGAAAATCGGTTTGGTGCTGCAAAGAGGTCCTCGCAAGGGCTAAGGACGCCTTCTCCAACCTCGGAGCCGATTTTCCCTGTTTTCTGCAGCTTGCTGGTAGAACCGACAGAACGGGAGGGGTCCTGCTGCAAAGGCGTTGGGAGGCCCTTCCATCCTTTTCTCTTTTACAGATCTCTTAGGAAAAAGAGGGGGAAAGTGTTAAGAAAGTGCAGAGGTTTACAGACAGGAGACCGTAACGGCTTCTTGTACAATTCTGGGAATGAAGGCGGGAAATTCCACGAAGCGAGCCTTGCCCAGGAGCATCTGCTGCCTCCCGCGCATCAATATCTTCCTCTGCCAGCACCGGTGGATGTGCTTTACAATTAAAAAAAAAAAAAAGCTGTTTTAAGCACCCCTAACCAGATACAAAGTTTGCCTAAAATCTGAATTGCAGGAGGATAAAACAGAAATGACCGTAGGATGATGCAGATTCTTAATCCGAAAAGGAATATGGTGAGAGTGGAGTATCATTAGGATAGACTCCTTTTTGTAAAAAAATAAGAATCCAGGGTCTTTTTCTCCACTTTAAAAAGATATCTTCTCTTTCTCCTTGATTGCTACGAAATGCAGTCTTAAGTCAAAGGGAAACTTAAATTCTCAGCTTCTTTTTCCCACAAGCACCTATAGATTTTGCATGTGCATGCACACCAACATCCCCCACTCCTGTTTACATCTATTCTCACACTCCCTGTTTTGACATACCTGCCCCCCTTTTTTCCCAGCCTCCTTAATTAGTGTGCTTGGCAAGACAGAGAATGTAACCATTTAATCAAGGAATAGTTCTGTGTTTATCCTTCACTAGTTCTCACGGTCTACTTCGGTGCCAGCTGATCTCGACAGATCTCCAAAATTTAAGCAGGACTGAATCTGTTGGTGCGTGGAAGGGAGAGCACCAGAAATCCCAGGACTATAAGCTGGCTTAACAAATTGAAAAAATATCTTGGAGGAAGACAGTGGCAAAGCACTCCCTATGGTAGTGAAGAAAACAAAATGGAGGTTCTCAATAAAGTTGCCAAGAGTTGACTTCAAAATAAACTTCACTTTGAGTTCTGAAGGCAGCAAATACCATGTTTTACTTTCCAAGAGTGGAAAGTAATTATTCTTACTTGATCTCATCAACCCTTCTCTCCCTCTTTCTTTCTTCTCGTGCAGCTAGCCCTGGAGAGTCTCAGTCTTCTCCTTCCCCTCCAGCCAGCCCTTCTGAGCAAGAGAAAAGTCCTCCAGAGCCCCTAAGTCTTGCCCTGGAAAGCAGCAAAGAAAACCAGCAGCCGGAAAGCAAACCTGGCTCCTTGCTCAGTGGCAAAATGTGCCCAAACAACCACACCTCGGTTGGCATTCAGGAGATTGTGGCCATGTCACCCGAGTTGGACACCTATTGCATCACTAAGAAGGTCAAGGAGGTCTTAACTGATAACAATCTTGGTACGGAGATCCGGGAAGCTCCCTATGCCCAGTAGAGTCTTAGGGGTCCAAGAGAGCTGCCTTGTGCCAGGACGGATGGACACCGAGGCCATGGTGCTTTCGCCACAGAACTTGGGCAGATGTGCTCCTGTCCACAGGTTTCAGGGGCTGAGGTCTCACGGCCATTTGCTTTATTTTGAGCAGCGCATATTTTGTGGTCTCTGGATGGCAGCTTCTCATCCACCAATGGAGCGTTGCAGAGATAACTAAATTAAAAAGCGCTGAGTGGAAGGAGGGCCGCCTAATTAGGGTGTGCATCGGGGTCCAGCAGCGCGGCTGTACAAAGAGCTCTTGAGGGGCTTCTCCATCCCAGTGATACAGCTAATAGTATTTGTATTTCTGTAGTATGTCACCAGAAGGCTTATGATGGGAATTAGGTCAGGGACTGAGAAGGCTCTCTCATTCCAGAGCAACAGGTAATGATTTAAGGCTTAAAGGTTTAAACTGAGATCTTACTGTCGTGTGTAGATGTTGACTGTAGAGTTAGAATTAGCGTGGAGTAAAATTTTAATTCCTGCGAGACAAACTTGGGCAGGAAGAGTGAGAAAATGTGGTCTGGTACTTCCTAGATGAAGGAAACAGAGGCAAAAGTCCTGCCTGTGTACACTGGAAAAGTGAAAAGAAACACAGCTGGGGAAACAACATTTACAATACACTTTTAAAGGGCGCTAGACAATCCTGTGACCCGTCGGGTCATCCTCTGAGAGAAAGGTAGTGCAGTCTGATGGGACCAGAATGAACAATAAATTTTAGGCTGACCCTATTTTTTTTACCCCAGTGCTGGATGGTCCTGTGATCATCCAAGAAGAGAATATATCATAAATAGAAAAATAATTGTAGTGGCAAATTAACTTCGATAAGTCAGTATTTACTGACCTAAACAGATAAACAGAATGACCATGGGTGGGCCAAAAAGCAGTGGGAGTGACTTCCTGCCATTTTCCCATGGACTTTGCTTGTGGGAAGCTGGCAAGGAGTGTCAGATATCACAAACGTGTGATGCTGCAGCGGCTACAACTTTGTGAATAAAAGTGGTCTGAACATTGTGGAAATTTCAACTCCACAAGAGTAATGGGTCCCAGATTCTTTATGCATTCTTTAAGTTAACGGATTTTAGGCACCTTGATTCAAAACTTGTTTGGGCTAACTTGAGAGTACAAACAGATAAACACAAAGAGAGTTTTCATAGTAAATAGATCAGTGTTTCTCAGCCTTGGC